TCAATAATTTAAAAAAAATGCATAAAAATATTTAACCTTTCTTAATATTAATTAGCCTATAAATTTATAAAATGAGGATGTAACTCCTATTGTGTAACTATTATTTGTCATATGATGCATTACTTAACACACTATTCAATTTTAAATTATTTTTTAAAATATATTAGTATTGTTTAAATATATAGTATTCTAGTTGCTAAACCAGTTTTTAGTTGAAAATGTTTTATTGATTATTTCTGGTAGGTAATTTAGAACTTCTAGTAAATTGAGTCTCCACGTCTAAGATCATGAATACCTGATTTATAACGAAATCATTTCAACATGCCGTTAAAAATAAATGTTTATTTACTTAATATTAAACTTTCTTTTTTATGTCTACATTGTTTTATTGTTAATTGACATTGTTAAAGAAAGTTATAGAAAACATTCAATAATGTGTCTGCAAAGTAACTTTTAATAATAGTAGCTTTAAATGTTTCTAAAATGAAGCTTTTTCATTAACTTCTAAATATATATATATATATTTTTTTTCCTAATTTGGTAACATATCCATAGGTCTTCACTATCCGAGAGGTTTGAAAAAACTTTTTTTAATGTGGCATAAATTAAAACTACTTAAAATTCTTTATATTTATATTAAATGCGTAAGTCATAAATTTTTTAAACTTAAAATTTATCAAAAATTTTTTTTTTACTCTCATTCGTTTAACAAAAACGTGGATTATTTTCTGAGAATCAGAGCCGTGGCTAGGCTTCCCCACACACCCCAATTGTGGGGGAGGGGCAGCATTTTTAGTGTCCTTTTTCAAAAATTGAAAAAAAAAAATTTGTATTTTTTATAAAAAAAATATTTTAATATATATAGTTACTGTTACTATTAATAAAAAAACTTTTAGTCACAATATTACCTAATCTGTACAAGCGTAAAAAAAAGCAATTACATTTTTAATGCAAAAAAAAAAAAAAAAAGATATAACACTCCCGAGGTCCGAATTATATTATAAAACGCAAGCTTTATAAATTTATTATTTTTATTTTGCGATTTCGAATTGATTTTTTTTATTATTATTATGCGTTGTTAGTTTTTTGTATCATAAAAACAAACAATGAAAGAAGGTTTGCAAAAATTTATATTTATCTTTCGTTAGTTTTTCACAATATAAATATTTGTATAAAAAAAGTGAAAAGTAGTGCGACTAAGAGAATAGAAAGCAGCCAGGGAGGAAAATCACAAAACAGGGAGGAAATCACAAAACACCCCAATGTTAACATATTTTTTGAAACCAGCAGTTTAGCCTGGAAGTGTTTTGAAACCAACAGAAACTACAAATAACTATGATTGCTATTATTTGAATACTAGAGTCAGATAGGTTGATATGTGAGTCTACATCAAATGATATAACAATTCCGTTTATTTTTCTCAGTGATGATCCTTCTGAGTTGCCTGATGATGTTTCTGATGCACAGAGGTGTGACATTGTTAAACGTGGCTTTAAAAAGATTGAAATTGATTTTCCAGACAATTTAGAAAGAAGACGATTTTCACTGAATTATTATTACAGCAAGGTGAAATCTTTGAACGGACATGGCTAGTATATTCTTTGAATAGCAATAAAGTGTTTTCTTTTTATTGCAAACTTTTTGGGATAACTTCTTCACCAATTCGACAAGGAATGAACACTTAGAAAGGCTTATCAAAAAAACTTAAAGAACACGAAAGATGATGTGCACATTTTAAGTGCTTTGAACACTGTATGACTTAAACTCATATTTCTTTAATTTATTGCTTTGTTACTTTTTTTTCTTAATTAATTTTCCCTCAATTTTGGTAATGCAGGCATTGCAAATCAAGCTACCATAGACGAGCAACAACAAAAGTTGCTCGTCTATGCAGTGCAGTGTTAGAAAGGATACTGGACATTACCTTATTTCTTTCTACAAGAAATCTTGAATTTCGTGGTTCAGAAACAGCCATTGGTTCAAAGAGCAATGAAAATTTTCTTGGGTTGTTTGAATTACTGGCCAAGTACAATACCATTCCCAATGAGCTTATGCAAAGAACTCAGGACAAAGAAACCAAGGAGCAATATTTGAGCAATGACACACAGAACGAGTTGATTAGAATTTAAGCCACATACTATTCTATTATTTTAAATTGTACGCCAGACAATCTAAAATAAAGGAATAGTATTTTAGATTGGATTACATGTAACTGCGATCATTAACATGTACTCCTGGAGTAGGTATTGACATTTCCAAAAATTTTTAAAATTACGCAGAAGTATTGGGCATTGAAAAGGTTTTACCAATAGTACGTTTACGAAAAATGCCGATTTATTCATACGAATGTGTTGATCACACTCGGCAACCTGAATATCTATATAAAGCATTTTTTTTGTTCCCATTAATTGATATGTCAATTGCATCAGTAAAACAGCGTTTTGAACATATCAGCATTGTCACAAAGCTTAATGACTTTCTTTACCAATCTGAAAGTCTTATCGAAGCCTGTAATAAAAGTTCTTTGTCTATAAATTGCAAAAGTTTGCAAATGAAGCTTGGTGATATAGACTTTGAAGATTTAGAAATGGAGTTAAAACGATTTGTCATCGTTAACAAGGTGGAAAAAAATGCCTCAAAAAAGAGCTGCAAAAAACTTATCCCAATCTAGTTGTTGCATTACGAACCATTCTTACTTTATCAGTTACTGTTGCAAGTGTAGAACGTAGCTTTAGCAAGTTTAAACTAATTAAAACTTTTCATAGGTTAGTATAAATAATCTTGCTTCATTAAACATAAATACATGTAGCTATATTTCTTTGTATCTTTAAATAGTTCAACAATGGTCGATGAACGTTTGTCTGCTTTAGCAACGCTGTCGATTGAAATCGAGGTTGCAAGGAAATTAAGTTATGAAGGCATAATAAATGAGTTTGCAAGCATGAAAATAGTCGCAAACCCTTTTCTTAAATAGTTTGCGACGTACTTGTATTATCTACGTAATACATTAACTGTATTTAAAAAAACTCTTTACTAGTAAACTCTATATCAATTTAACAATTATAAAATATATTTAATTGAATTTAAGCGTTAATTTGATTGTTTTTAGTCTTATGAACGGCGACGTTAAAATATTTCAGGTACCATGCTTTTTGGGGTAGTCTGTAAATGTTATCCACTTTTTTAGAAAGAATAAATAAAAAATAAGGGCCCAAATTACTAGTTTGGGGGGGGGGGGCAGACCTACTTGCCACGGCACTGCTGAGAATACAAAATCGTAAACATTGTTCTTTCTATGTAAAAGAAAATAGTACGCGTTTTCACCGTCAGGACAGCGTATATCATTTCTAAATTAAAAAAACTTAAATCTTTCCTAAATTAAATATGATTTAACTAAATAAGTTAACTATAACAAAACTTTAAAATATTATACATTAAATTACTAATTAATCCATCAAAAAACATCTAAGTTGCTGTTATTAACCACCTGACGGCGTGAAAAAAAACTTGAGTATGTTTTTTAATCTATTCAAAAGAAAGCTTTTAAAGAACTTTTATTATCGAAGGATTCTATAAAAATTGAAAAAATTAAAGTTCATAATAATAATAAATTCTTTAACTTCTCTAATCAATTAATATATGATGTTTCAATTAACTTTTGTTTAATTATTTTATTTAAAAACAAAATTTTACTACAGCATTGAAACCAACGCATTACCCGATCTTAAAAATTGCAAAAAAAAAAGTTCAAATCTATTTTTTGTAAACTCAGCGCATGAGTAGTGCTCAGACACGCAAAAAATGATACTTATTTTTTCTTGATTTGAGGATTAGTTGTAAAGATCATTTTAATTTATTCATTGGTAACACTCCTTTTGGATTTGATAACAGTAAATGTACAGTTTAAAATAATATGTCATAAAAAAATAGAAAATCTCTGACCATGTAAAATCTCTAAAAATCAAGCTAAAAAATTCAAAGACTTAGTTAAACAAAACTTAAAACCTGTTTATTTTTATAAATTCAGTACAGAATAGTTAAAAAAAAAACTTTATTATTTTATTGCTCTCACACTTGGGTTAGACATTTTTTTTTTGCGTATTTTTTTGTTTTTCAAAGCATTCTCAGATGACTTGTGTGAGCATAAAAAGGTTTAAAGTTTGCTCCAATGCTAGAATTTTTCTTTCTCAAACACCATAAAAAGCTGTTAACGCCTATGCTTTAATCTTGAAACAAAATTCGCTCGTAATACTTATTACATCAGAGACAATGAGTTCAAATGTATAATTTGTATAATACAATTTGATACGTTTGTTATAGACTTGTTTCTCTTGTTTATTTTATTTTGTTTCTATGCGCATTGGTCTTATTTGCCTTATGTTTTGGAGTTATCGAGTTAAGAGAAAGTTTGATATATATATATATATATATATATATATATATATATATATATATATATATATATATATATATATATATATATATATATATATATATATATATATATATATATATATATATATATATATATATATATATATATATATATATATATATATATATATATATATATATATATATACAGGGCCGTTATATATCCAAAGCTGTTATAAATGCATTTGAAATGGCACTCACACACATATATATAAATATATATATGTGTGTGTATATAAATATAAATATATATATATATATATATATACATATATATATATATGTATATATATATATAATATATATATATATGTATATATATATATATATATATATATATATACATATATAAACATATATATACATATGTATATATATATATATATAAACATATATATATATATATATATAAACATATATATATATATATATATATATATATATATATATATATATATATATATATATATATATATATATATATATATATGCATAATTAAAAAAATGAGTATCCCCTCGACAATAATGGACCTTTTTCTTTAAGGTGTGCTTATAAAAAAAGATAGTAAATAGATAATAAATAAATTTCTTTCAAAAATATATAGTACATTATTTATTCTAATATTTCTAAATATTAGGTTGTATAAACGCAAACATAAATTTAGACTTAAATAAATGTATGAAAACTATTATCTAATAAGAATGTTAAAAACTTCCTTGGTTTCGAAATGATTTTAAAGATGCAGTAATATTTAACGAGCAAAAGCTCTTGTCTAATTAACACCAATTAAAGTTTTGCTTTTTTATATATTTACAGTAACTTCATTTTAATTTTATACATATAATTAGAACGATAGCATATCCATTTCTCTGGAGATTTGTTATCAGAAACTACAACTTGATGAACAATAACATCTGAAGCAATTTGATGTCCAACATTAAACTCAACGTAGGCATAGGGTTGAAAGTCTTCAATCATTATAATAGGAAACGGAAGTTCAAATTGACATTGAAAAGTGTGCAACGCTTCACCTGAATTGTTTCCTTTGATGACGGGTAAAGACCCTAATCTCCAAACTAATCCGCCAAATGCTGGCTCGTAGGTAGCTCTACCAACACTTACCTGGAGAGAAACATGGTTCAATGTAGCCAAAGCAGCATCTCCAGTTTTGTATGTGGCTTTTACCTTTAAATATTTGTTAAAACCACGTAAACTTTTACTACGGACAAACATCGTACTCCACGAGCCTGGAATCGGAATATAAAGTAGAACGTCTTCTCTGACGTAATGAAAACTGTTCTTACCACCAAAAACACAAAGAGAAGCTTTTAATCGAACGACGTTATTATTTATAATCTCTACGCTTGCCATTGTAGATAGTGGTGGGAGAGATTTAGCACGAACACGAAAACGAAGAAGTTCAAAACTACATCCATCAGGTGGCAAAAATTTTACTCCTCCATTGGTATTTTTTGTATCAACGCATGGATGGTATTCGTATTTCAGTGGTTTAATCCATGTCTCTGGAGGCTTTAAGTCTTCTAATAAACTATTAGCTATTACTTCATCTTTGTAGTTCATATCATTTAAAAATATTGTTATGTATGGGTTTCCACTAATAAAAGTTCGTAATCGAAGTTGTACTGTAATGCTATACTGAAGAATTTTTCCGTCTCCGGAAAACAAGTAGTTGCATTCGTCATCACAGTCAACAAATATTCCTTCTTGACGATATGAAACCATGTTGCTACGAAATGTCGGAATATGGCGAATAATTCTTTCAACTTCATTAAGAAACTCTCTAAAACTAAGTAAATCTCTAGACGCAAGCTTTAAAACAGGAGTATAAACCGGTACATGTTCAACATTTGATCCGTTTTTTAACCGCCGAGATTCTTTATATTTAACATATTGTAATTTTACAGAATGAACTTGACCGTCTTTATTCCCTCTTTGAACCTTTGGAATTGTAAATACAAAAAATGGGTGGAGTGGAAACTCTTTAAAAATTTCTGACCCTTTTTTAGTAGTTCCATGTAATTTAATAAAACCGTTTTCAATAAAAACAGTAACCGGAATCCATTTTCTTCTTCCTAAACGTCTTGCACGACCTGGATAGCGATACCAAAAATTCCAACTTGCATAATTTTGTTTTAAATTTGATTGTTCAGAATCACTTAGTTCAGTAAAGCTAAATGCTTCCTCAGTGTTTTCTGATAACTTTTGTTTTATGACCGAACTAGAATGAAATAGTGAAGCTTTGGGGTGTATTGTGATAGAAGTTTTTGATAACTTATTAACTTCCTCTTCACTTTCATTGTCTGAAAGGATTTTTTCTAAATTGTTTTTGTTTGATAGAAAGGCATTTTCTTCACTCCCGCCTTGTTTCATAGTCGTACAAATAGTATACTTGTGATCGTTTGTGAGATTACACAATTTATCAGTTTCGAAATTTTCACTTTGAAAAGTACATTTTATGCCAGTGTTTTCAAAAGAAATATGGTTTATACTGTCATTGTCTTGTTCATTAAACTTTATCCACTCTTGTCTTGAGCCTTTAAGTTTTAATCTAGAAGAAATTATTTCATCATTTGAAAAGTCTAAGCTAGTGTCCGAGCAAATCGAAGAAGGGAAACAAAATGAGGAAGTTTCCCTGTTGAGATTGTTTATTTTATTAGTTGTCTCTTTAAATGAACTAGAAAATGAATTTTCACACCTCGGCGTAACCTTGTTAAACTCTTCCAATTTCTCCGTCAACTCATCTAAAAGTGTATTGTTCAGCAGTTTATTCCTTTCATTTAATAACTCGTTTAATGAAGACACCGATAAGTTCTTAAAAAAAACAGAGCTCTTTTTTTTTTTCATTGATGGTTGTAAAAATGTATTATCTGAAAAAACGTTTCTCAAAGATTGAAAACCACGCAGATTTTCATCTTTTTCTTTACATGTCACGTGGTTACGCTGGGTAACTTTTATAAGACCAAATTGATGATTTTTTGTTTTCATTCCATCTGCACAATTGTTGTTAAGTACACAACAACTTTTTGTTTGCGTTGTTTTTTTTAAAGCATGATCTACCTCATCAAATTGCGCAAATTCGAGCTCATCGAGGTGTTTTGCAGACATGTTACATGAGACACAGCTATTAAGCGAGTCGTCTTGTGAATCGCTAATAAAACTTATTAAAGAACCTGATTCATTGCTTTCTAAGGAACTATCAATCATGGCTAAGTTAAATTGCTCAATCGGTTTGCGTTTCTTAATAATGACATTTTCGCCAAACAATATCCAATTCATTTTCTAATTGTAATCCAATATTTTGAAGGAACGCCAATTGAAACTATCTAAAATAAATACAAAATGTACTAGATATTTCATATATATTTTCAAAACATTATAAACCAAAGTGTTATTATTTAAAGCGTTCCTTCTTCCGAATTTTATAAGTTTTTACATAGTCACTATGGTAATGAAGTAAAACCGATTTAAACTTAAAAAAATACATATTGACTTGACTCTGTTACCAAACGCTCGTTTAGCCTATATGATTTAGTAAGCAAGCAAAAAGTTGTAAATCCAGTAAAAAGAACGCTTATAATAATATAAACCTCAATTTTCAAAAAAGTTGAAAACACAGTAAATTTTAAATCTGATTAAGCAAAAAACACAGAATGACAGAACATGCACATAAACTGAATATTAATAAATAATTTTTGGTTTAAATGAATAATATACCTGGCCTAACTTAAAATCTAATTTAAAAATAACGTCTAAATTTATACAGAAGGCAGCAAAGTGTGAATTAAAAGAGAGCAACAATGAGTCTTATAAATGATAAAATGTGAATGCTGGTCATGGTGAGTAACATCACATGAAACATCATGATGAATATCAGTGAAAGTTTAGTATAATTTAAAAATATGAACCTAACTGTATCTGCTGATAAAAATAGCTAATCTTTATATTTTCAAAATTTTATGTTTTTAAAGTATACAAATAAAGAGTTATTTTTTTATTGTCATTAAGTAAAAATATTTCAAAGTAAATAGCATTCCAGAAAACTTTTACATAAATAAAACTTAAGGTTTTAATTCACAACTTTGTGTTAACAAAATGCACATCTAAAACAACATTTCTTTTTACTTACCAGTTTTTAAACTAACGAAAACTAGCATTCGTAAACTACTTTTTCCATGTGAAGAAAACAATTTTTCAATTAAAAACTTTTATAAAATTTTGAAACAAGATTACAATTTTTATTACTGTTCAATTTTTACTCAAGCGTTTTTGTACTGATTAATTACAGAACGGAAATCATTTAAGATTTAGCGATAATTAATTATGTAACACTTTGTAACCCACTGGTATAAATGAGTTTCATGAAAAAAAATTAATAATAGATGTAATTTATACGGAGAGCTATATATATATATAATGTAACATACTACCGTTTTATCGGATCATTAAACACATTGAACTGTCGTTTATATATTTATAACGTAACATACTACCGTTTTATCGGATTATTAAACACATTGAATTGTCGTTTATATATTTATAACGTAACATTTTACCGTTTTATTGGGTTATTAAACACGTTTAACTGACGTTTAATGCAGCAAGAAATTTTACTATTAGTTTTTTACTTCTCATCAGTTTCTCTTTAATCCATCAAATGTTTATATCTTTTGATTTCATGTTCAATAAAGTTTACAAATCATTGTTAAGTCGCTAGACAATCTCGTAAATAATACTCTTTTCAAACTTTGTTGTAAATAACATAAAAAAGTTTTTAAAATATAAAATAAGAAATAATCAGAATATGTAAATAATTGCTATAAAAATGCGTAAGAACAGATTTTCAATAAGCATCGCTTGAGAACGTTTCGTAAAAAACTTTGGATGCATAAATAATACGGGTCTCTGCAATACTTCGTATATATTTGTGAACATTGACAACAAGTATGTTTCTTTTTGTTTAGTTTTTCTGTCGAAAACCTAAAGGTTTGTTAAGGGCTTATAATTATTGAGCATATATTTAATACACACAATTCTGTTTACACTGCGTTCCGTTGAGTAACTTGCGTAAGTTTTTTTTTAATATCGTTAATGTTCGAAACTATTTTCCTATTTCATGGCTAAAATATGATATATTTTCATTGTTGAAATTTTATGATCAATATTTAATTTATATGAGATTTCGACATTTTGCATTTAAAACGTTCTTTAATATTTAAAGCGTAAAATATTAAAAATAAAAAGTAAAGCCTTAAACAGCTCAACTTCAAAGTAAAAACCTAATAGCACGCTCATCTTCGTAACAAAATACAAAGATTACATTTTTTATACAGAAAATTCAACAACAACAAGTAGAAAAGATTGCTTCATTCAATAGTGACAACTTTAATAATGATATAACTGTATTTAATGTTTAATTTTTTAACTTCGGATTTCTTCCACGAGAAAAAAAAACCACGATTAAAAAAAAATTTATAGTCAGAATGATTTATAATTATTTAAGTGGATTGTGAGAAATTTTCACAATCGAAAAGTTGAAGTATATTTAATAGAGTGAAAATATTATGATGGGAAGTTGGGGCCAGAGTTTTGGCCTTGGTCTTGGCCTTGAAACTGTTGGCCTTGGCCTTGATTGTTTTGACCTTTGCTATAAAAAAAATACATATTTGCTTATTGATTTTGTTTTATTCTGCCCATGGTCTATTTTTACAAAATGTGGTTTCATTGTCACAGCACTTGCTACTTACTTAACGTAAGTTGAAAGTTGAAGTCTTTGGTCTTGAAAATGTTTGCGTAGGCCTTAGCCTTGAAACTTTTAATCTTGGTCTTGAGCTTAAACTCTTGGCCTTAGCCTTGACCTTGGCCTTGTAACTTTTGGTCTTGGTCTTGGCCTTGGCCTTGTAACGCGTGGCCTTGCCCTTGGTTTTGGCCTTGATACTTTTGGCCTTGTTAACAGCTTTGGGCACAGTGGATCGGACTTTTTTATTTTTCAAATTGAACAAAAGTTAAAATATGTATTTTATTTTTTTCAAGGCGAAAAGATTGAGATATATATCCTTCATGATAATAAATCACTAAAACTCAAATATTTATTATCTAACGACTCACAGAAAGGTTTAAAGTGAGTTGTGTTACGTTATTCACTGTGTAGCAGTACTGGGGCACAGTGAATCATTGAACACAGCTGTGAATTAATAACAGTGAGTAGGGGTATAGCCAAATAACTATATGGCTGAGGGAGTAAAGACATTGTACACTATACTTTTGGCATAACTTTATTAATTAGATGATTATAAAATCGAAAAAATAGACATTTTGAAAATTGAGAAGAAAAAAAAAAAAAATTTATTGACAACATTCAAATATTATTATTCATAACTTAAAACTAATAAATTCATTTTTTGTTTGTTTGTTAAAAATGCATGAATTTAGTTTTTAAGATCATTAACGGGGCACAGTGAATCAACCGATTAAACACAAATTAACCCATAACAAACTAAGTTTAAGTTTAATTTCTGGAGATATAAGTGTTGTCAAAAGAAAACTACTAAAACAAAGCATAAGTATCAATAATCCGAATGAAAAACATCAACTTTTAAAATAATTCCAATCATGATCTCCATAATAAGCATAAGGGAGGTAAGAAAATTTACTTTAGTTAGCTAAAAATTACCTACCAAAAACTGGTAGTCAAAAATTATGTGGGTAATAACTATAAATAAAGATGGTTGATATATGAGCATATAAAATATACATTATCAAGATCAACAAAGTTCTAATCTTTGACAAAATGCCTCTTATTCACTGTGCTCCTCGTTCCACTGAGCCCCAACTTCCCCTATAACATGAAAACAAATTAAAAATATTTTTTATAAAACAAAAAATGCTAAGTTAAAAATAAAAATAAAAAGTTTAAATATTTTATATAAAAGCAAGAATGTATTTTTTTTTTAAAGAAGCATGACTAAATTATGTGATTCAATAGCTATATTATTTAACAGAGATTTTTTATAATAATGTTTTGTGAAATAAATCTTAAAAATTTTTAATGGAAAGATGTTTCTATATTGCTATAAATGGTCTGCTTTAAAATTTAATTAGAAGAACATGTCTTTGAAATGTTATACAAAATGACGGAGTTAGTTTGAAAAATGACGGACAAATTTGTTATAATAGATAATTATAGCAGTTCTAAATTTCCCTTTATTTTAACCAAATGCCTTACTAGCCCTGACTAATAGCCCTTATATGCTTTACTAGCCCTGGCTAGTAAGTTTCAACAAATGTTTTACTAGTCCTGGCTAGTAAAATATTTTTTGAAATATAATTTAGATAAAGACTTTTGGCAAGAATTACAGGTTTAAATTAACACAGCTCAATTAACTTCCAGGTTTTTAATAAAATGTGGCAGAGGCTACATTGGAACGTTTTATTTAATGTTTTTTTACGGTAGTATGAGAAATTGCACGTGTGCATTTAAAATTTAAGCAGAATGAATGGTCGGGCAATAGGGCACCACCTTTCAAAAAAATTTTTTTTGAATGTTTGCTGACTTCAAGTGCGCAAATACAACTTTTAATGGAAAATGAGACGTATAAAAAAGCACTTTTGACAATCCCAAAGAGCACTGTTTCATGGCATCCTTTAACGCATCAAGTTAACAAGCGGCTTGAATCTATGAGAATCTTGTGATAGATGAAAAAAAACATCTCAAAAACAAAAAGTGATTTTTGTACGCCCAGTGAATGACATTCTATGCTCAAAAAACTCTTATATTCTCTTGTGCGAATGTGAATGCGAAAATCCAAAATGAATTGTTAAAAATTTTAATCCGTATCTTAAGAAGTCACCCAATTTAATCTATAAGGTAAAACTAAAAGCCGAAATTTCTTTACAGAACTTAACTTTGTAGGCTGATATATAAAAAAAGACATAATGAAAACGGGTTTAAAACATAAAACAATGCCTAAATATTGTTTCTTGTTGCCTCAATATCTCAAAAAATAAAGATTGTTCTAAAAATTCAAGGAGCCTATACAAAGTGCTATAAACATGTTTTATACTGAGACTTTTTTATTCTTGCATGTTTTTTTATAAGTTACACATTCTCTTATACAAGATGCGTACAGCTAGGGATGACTCAAGATTTAAATGAGGTGAATCTCAACCAATTCTACGTAGAATCTCCACCAATTTTACGTAGAATCTCCACCACTTCAGAATAATAATATAATAAAAGTGGCCCATAAACTCACAAGTTAATGGGCCGCTTTGTGATATTAAACAAGCTAAGGTAGAATTTCTTTTAGACGCTTGATGTAAAATTTACGTTTTGCTAACCCCCTTTGCCTCAGTTGAATCGGTCGCTTCTTCCAGCTGTACCTAATATTTTTAAATTTTTAACAATGTGAAACATTTCCAGAAATTATTCTAAATTACCTGAATCTTCATTTCTCTAATGGTTTGGATATTTAAATATATTACCACGAGCTATTGTTGAAATTGAAGGTATTTTCAATGCCAAATGCAATGAGGGTTACACTGACGCTTAAGTTCAATCTTATTTGTAATTTTTTAATCAACTCCAAAAACTTGTTTAAAAATGTATTACTTAAAAGTTACTCCAAATCCATAATACCTTCCGCTTTTCTGTTGAAGCAAATTTTGAAAAACTATATTTTCAAGAATGATACAATTATCCATATTCTTTGATGCGTATTTACAAACTCCTTCTACGGCTACTAAGCTGTCTTATTTAATTAAATTTAAAAAAATATATAGTTGACTTCATTAAAAAAAAGTGCAAGAGCAACCCTGAGAAAAGACAACTTTGTATGATAAAATTCTTCAACTACTGGGTTATTTCTATAGAAGCTTATTAATAATGATTTAAAACTAGTCTGTTACAAGTTGTTGCAATACTCTTAATTTTAGTTTGTATTTAAATTTAGTTTACAAAGTTATTTTTTCAAATTATTTTTCAGCAAAGTGAAGCAAAAGTAAATTTTTTACGCTAGATAAAACTTATTTATGTATAAACGCAACTTATATTAATTTTAATCAATCAAAATTTACACAACTAAATCCTATAATTTTTTTTTTACTCAGTAGTTTGTTTTGAGATTTTGTCCACCTGGCCCACTACTTTTAAATAAGAAGACGGATCTTCTAGACACCGGTTAAACCGGTTTCTGAATTTGTTCAAAAATTAAAGTAAATTGAAGTTTTTTTACGCATTAAAAACTTCTTTTATTTGAAGTTTTATCGTTATTATTAAAAGTCTTCTTTGTTTCTAAAACTACAGCAAGTTTGACTTTTATTGTTGTTGACAGTCGAAGACTATAATATTCAAAGAACGCTTAGCTGGTACATTTGCGCCAATCGAAATGGTTCAACGCACTTTTATGCCGGTTTCAAAAGGTTGAAAAATAGATATAAATGTTTACAATAATGTTTTTATGTTGCAAAGAAAAGGTTGAAAATTAAAAAGAAAATGTTTACAAAAATGTGTTTATGTTGGCAAGAAAATGTTGAAAAATGAAAAGAATTGTTTGCAAGAATGTATTTATTTTCGATTTCCATACATTTACTTAGATGTATTAGTTCTTTAAGAAAACCGCGTCTAAAACTGACATAAATTTTTTATAATAGATTTTTTCATATTATTTACAGCTTTTTAAGTGATTTTTTTAAAATTGATTTATATCTTTTATTTTTTACTCACTTGATTATAAAAATGATCTGTTTTTAATAGCATCGATTTGTTTTTGTTTATTACTAGACAACGTAAAGTAGGGCCTTACGTTAGGGCTGCGTTGTCCCGGTTTTTACGGAGGAGAGCGCAGCGCTAAACTGAATAAAATTAAAACTTTTATCGTGTTCTCCTGCGAAAAAAACAGGACAATGGCACCCCTAACATAAAGGTGAGTTTCCACTCATTCGTTTTTTTTTACCGAAAACGGGAAAGGAAAAATAATTACGT